ATAATTCTCGATTTTGTAGTTTAGTTTTCGATGATATATGCCTAAAAGTCTATAAAGAATTTAAATAAAACGACAGGAATCTTTCATAAAATCCCGCGTTTAGCCCTGCCATGACCCGCCATGATGACAACCGAATGGCCACCCTTGTGACACTTTTCCGTTGCTCCTCAAACCATTTTTACAACATACCGGTAGCATTAAAGCCACCTTTCTAACAAAACTTTAATAGGGGAGAATTCCAGGAGCCAGCAAGAGAAATTTTTACACTCGATTAGCTGCATTTGTGCACGTGCCAAACCAAACTCAAATAATACACACAACCACGGCGCTGTGTGAGGAAAAACAAAGCCAAAACAATAAAAAGAAAAAAATAAAAATGAAACAGGAGAGGAAAAATTACAATAAACGTTAGATTTTCATTAAAATCAAAAAGAAATCCAGACGGCGAGCATGTGTGGGTGGTGCGTTCCAAGAAAACGTTGCCTACTTTGCAGCGCACCGCACAACGAAATGGAAAGTTAAGCACTTGAGTCTGCGACAAAGGGGTCGAGAAGGACTAAGCAGCAGGGGTTGGTGGGGAGAAGTTTCAAGGGGTGAATCCTTAGTGCTCCTTTACGAAATCATACAATGTGAATCCTGCCGCACCCCCACTTGGTTGAGCCCTTTGTTTGGGTTCAGTTTATTCGTTTTTTTTTCTACTCTTTTTATTTCTGCACTGAGCTGCACACAATAATGAAAATGTTGTTGTTTGTTAAATTCCAACAGCCGCTGCTAGAACACACTTGAGCGCTCACACACCCGCATACATATGCGAAACACACTCACACATATGCACAGCTACATTGCATTACTTCCGCCTCAATGGTAATAATTTTAAAATCAATACAATTCAATAAAGTTTTATTACTCGCGCTGACAAGGGTGCTGAGCTCTCTTTTATTTTCCTGCAGGCTCCACGGAGTTTGGCGAATCGTTTGGGTTAACTCCGTTGAGCTCTTAACCCACGACCGCCGGTGGTGCTTGATGCCCAGCGAGGCCAAGCCACGCCAAGCGGATCCACCTGCTGCTGTCGCTGTGCCGCAATTGCTGGCAATTAGAATACGTTTTATAAGCAAATTGCCAGCGAACTTATGCGTCAAAGTCCAACGCCCATTTATATGCAAATGTCAGCGATACACTGGAAGAAAAACTATATAATTGTCTTACTATAAAGTTAACTTCATACCTGATGTGATATCATTTGTGTTCCAGTGCAGGTCAGCGGCTGTCACGGGTTCCCAGCCACTTTCCCTCCTGATGAATCAAAGTCATAACGTGGCTGAAACGCGTCCTCCCCTCCCAGCTCTCTGCTCCACCCCCGCTTTTCCATCTTTCTCGACGGTTACGCATCGTTATGCACAGCGGCAGCGGATGACTGTTATTAAAATCAGTTGTTCGGGTGTACAGGACCTTCTTTCGGGCAGACAGACAAACTGGTGGCGGCTGAGGACGAGGCGGACGGATTTGGCACAGCTGTGTCAGAGCTCCAACTTCATTATGGCAGATGGGCGGGGGACAGTGCGACGCATTCGTTTAATGTCTTAATTCTGCACTCAGCCAAGTGAAAAATTAAAATGGTGTGGCTCTTTTGTTCCAGTAGCTAAAAAAGCAACAGCAGCAGGAGCATCAGGGTCAGGAGATTCAGGACCGTCAGGACCATCATCAGAGCCAGGTGAAAGCAAGTCCTTGGGCCGCAGTGGTCATAAGTCTAATGTTTGCCTTGTTTAAATATTAATAAAGCCCGAGGAGTGCCTTTAGCCTTGGCCACAAATTGTTAAATTGAAGCTAATAAAATTTGGCTATTACGCCTGGCCAGTGTCCATTTTATGGGCCACAAATTTCATGGCGATTAACTGTGATGGCAGTGCATGCATCACAAAAAGCCCCTGCTCCTGGCCCCGACTTCCCACGCCCTCTCAATTACCGCCCACCAGTTCGGCTTCATTGCGTAATTGTGGCCAAACACTTTGAGGCAAAAGAACAATGAAGCTCGGAAATATTTTAAACGAACCAAAGAAAAAAAATAAGTATTCGCAAAAAACAAACAGGAAAATGGGAAGTAACGTAAAAATTAAAGTGCGCGAAATGCAAATGTGCGGTAAAATTGGAGGGAAAAGTGGGTGGGGAGGGTGCCTGGGCAGAAGGATGGGAGGTGGGTGGTTGGCTCAGCCGAGCGTTTGTGCAAATTATGGTTTAACACCTCATTGAACTCGCTGCTAGGATGCCAAGGGGGAGCTACAGCTAGCTCTAGCCGGAGCTGCGAAAATTTGAATTTGAATATGAATTTCATATTCAAATGAGTTTTCAAAGACTTTGTGTGGCGCCAAACGGGAATAGAGTTAATTATATATAAATTATGGCTTATTGTTTCCATTCCCGCCTTGCCCAAAATATGTAAATTGGCCGCATAAAATGCCATTTAATTGGAGACGAGGCCGTGCCAGATCAAAGCGATTAAAGCCAAGCCGGCTCTTGGCTAAAAAGCTATGCATAGTCAAACAGTCTCCGTTCTGTACAACCCGGCCAGATTATATTAAAAAGCCAAGTGAAACAAAGGCGTGAATTCGGAAATAAGCCGAGCAAGAAGATGCTCTTAATCAAGAGAAAGGCTTAAATAATAAATAGAATTCTTGTCCTCCAAAGCAGATGCAAGAGTTTTTAATCAACACTCTGGCTCAAATTATGAATAATCCTTGGGCTTTTCGTTAAATAAATTAAAAGTGCCGCAGAGAAGCTTTCGATTAAAAAGAGGATGGCCATGTTAATAATAATTGTTTTCTCTGCAATCCACAAGACTTATAGTGTAATTAATCTGCTAAAACAAGCATCTTGGACCACACCCTCTCACTTTCACGGCGATTGTTCTGCGGTTGATGTGCATATGTAAAACCTAATTACAACTAATTAGTATTTGCACAAGTGACAACCTTTGACCCAATGTAAACAATGGACGGCGGCAGTAGCAACAACACTGTGTGGCGGCCGGTCAACAAGTCAAACAAAACCAACCTATGGGTACCATATATATACAAATATATATGTATATGGCTGTGGTATATATGTAGCAACCGTAGGAGTGGTAGAAGTCCAGCACCAAATGCAAATAAACAAAACGCTTTGATTAGAAAATTTCATTACACCAAATCGAACGTTTGCCATTGGCATACACACACGCACACACCTAGGCTCTTGCACACCCACTAACACACACACACACATGAGTAAATACGCACACACAAATGCAAATACAATCAGTGCCAATGCAAACAAATAAATGCACAAAGGGGCAACCCGAATGCAGTTGACCAAATGCACCAGTTCATTAAAATGCCTATGTGCCCCCTACTAAAGGTCCTGCGCCTCATTCTCATCCTTGGTCTGATCCTGATCCTATTCTGCTTCAGCTACAGCTGCTGCATCCTCATCCCAGTCCCCATTTACCTCCTCTGGCTGTTTGAAAAACGCAATTTAATAACGACTGCAAATGAGCAACGCTTTAGCCATGACTCTGGCCCGATGCGAGTCCTGTGCTTGTGTCAAATTTTATGGCCCAAAGGCGCATATCAAATGAAATCGACAGGCTCGTCCCGGAACATTTGTGCACTGAAAAAAATAGAAACAAAGGTAGGGCTTCTCTGCCTCTATTTAGGTTCAAAGCCTCATAAATTTTGCTGTCACATTATTTATCCATTAAGCTTTAGTAAGCAATAAAAGTGCATCTCTGCTAATTGATAAATGGCTCTAAAAAAAGGATATCTTTTTATAAAAATTATTTGGTGACCACATTTAAAATTTTTTCTTTTATTTATTTTTGCACTGCTGGTTTTTAATTTTTCGAATAGAAGCTAAGTAAATATAGTTATAGTGAATAGGTATTTTTTAACCCAAAGGATCTGTCTCATGCCGTACGGATAATAAAAGATTACGAGGCAGAAGTGTTAAAGTTTTGCTTTGAAAATATGTAGTATTTAGTGTTAAATCTTAGTAACCTAGTTATAGAGTTACAATATATTTCTTAAAATGTTTTTAATTTATCTAAAATGAAAACTTTACATTAATACTGCGTATACCTATTTTTCGTACGTTACGTATACGCATTGTAGGCTATTTTGTACCATGAGATTTATAAATATTTTGTATTTACCAAGTCAATTTTTTTTCTCTGTACTTTTAGGCCAAAGCTGCTGTTGCAGGCTGCACTATGTGCACTACCATGTGCCCAACTCAATTTATTAATGCATCCACATAGACAGATGCAGTCACGCTCCGGCTCAGTTCGTTGGATTGCATACAAAGGATTGGGGAGAGATGGGGGCCGGAGCTTTTGGGATAGATGATGCATCACCATGGGAGCAAATGCCATCTGATCACAATGTCCCCAAATTTAGGTCCGGAATTTGAGTTCCTTTGAGATTTTGGAACAGAGATCATGACGTGGAAATGATTTAGAATTGTAGAGAAGATGGCGTTGGCGTATGAGTTACGTCGAATAAGGTTCCCGCAAATATTTTAACACTCAATTAAAATTGCAATGCAAATAATTGCAGCACATTTAATGGCTATCTCTCTGGGCTTCTGCGTTCGCATTTAATGCATTTTTGTGGTAATGGCAGCAAATTAAGCGGAAATTACATGGCCTGGCCGAGATATCGATACTGAAACGCTCCGGCTGACAGGCAGTTGAGCGTGCAGGGATGCACGTTTCTCAAATTATGTTGATTTATATATAATTTTTGTGTAATTTCATTAAGAAATGCAAATTGCACATTAAATGCAATAAATATTGATAAATGTATGCGTATGCGAGCCATTTGGTGGGAATTCGAATACGAGCAACTGGCCTGCATAATTGAGGTGGGCGATTCCCGTAACTTTACCCAATGAATAAATATCATGAGTGGGAGCACGTTTCTGCTCTTGAATTATTTAATAAATTAATAAGTCACAAATATCTAGAAGACCTATCCAAAACTGCGGATAATTCGTTCCATGGAAATCTGCAAAATTGTGTCAACCAAACCACAGATTAAACTCAGCTTCATGATATCTTCTAAGGCAATAATTTGGGAACGTATTAGTTGGAGGCTTTGCTTGGTTGTCAAGCCGAAGTAGCAGACACATATGGTGAAGGTGACCAGGATCTTGCTTACGAAAATGCAGACTCGTTTGGCCCGGGATATGTTCGGATAGTAATTGGTGTCCCGCCAGTTGGCGGTGATTGGGTGCCAAAGGGACCAGTTGCTCCACATCATTTCGAAGAGCACTTTGAATCGTAGTCTCCAGGTTCCGATATACCGATAATCGCCTCGATTGAATATCAAATCCGATTGCAGGAAAATTCCATGATTCCTCGTGATCCACCGACGGGCGATGAAGACCTGAGATTGCCCGGTCTGGATATCGTTCACCTCGATTCGGCGCAGAAACCAGCTCGGAAAACGTCCGTGGTTGTCGTGGGAAACGAAGAGCTTCGTGGGTATTCGAATGTCGCGCGATTTTAGCCACAGTGTATTAGTCGTATTTCGCTGAAAGCGTATGTGCTCTGGATCCTGAGTCATTTTTATCCTATGACCGTATCTGCTCTGGAATGTTATATATATCGATGCCGTGGTCTCCGCATTGATCCTTCCGCCCGTCTTGATAAGGACCCAAAAATCGTGTACTTTGCGCGATTTTAATGCCTCGTCGTCGACTTCTACCAATCGATGGAAGACCGCTTTATTGGGCAGATGATTGCGATTGTCTATAATCCAAATTATCCATGCGACTAGGGCTATCAAAATTAACAGATAGGATGCAATAAGGATATAATTCGGTTTGATTTCAAGGAAGGGGTTCACGGGTATCCAAACGGGTGGAATAAAATATGTGAAAGCCGTATATGTCCCGAGCATTTTGCAGGAGCAGTACAGGCCCATCTTAACATCTTTTTCCATACCTGGAATACAGTTTAAATCGCTCCAATGCTGTTTATCTGGGGGCATACTATATATCCAATCTTCACAAAATCTTAACTGAAAGGCAAAGTCAAATTTCACGTCCCTAGCACGGGTTTTAGCGCCGGATGACGAATTTTGGACCACTTGTATTGCCACATAAGCACGCATAGCCTGCGGGCACTTATTTCGCAGTAAAACTACTTTACATTTTTTAGAGATCGGAATAAAGCAGGATGACTTGGAGAGTTGGGAAAACAGAGGCTGCTTCTCCAGGCTCAACATTACCTGAAGGGGATGTGTGGTCGAAATAAAATGCACCGCCAACATGGTATGCTTGTCCAGCAAGGTTCGATAGATTCGCACATCTTTCAGGTTTTTGAGGGTCACCTTCTTCATAAAGTTCACATAGATGCCAGCCTGGTCGTCTGTATGCGATAAGTGGCCTTCCTCCCTCAATTCCCTATCAGGGCCTTTTTTAACTATTTTTCGAAGAGGCTCGTCTACCAAAGCCTCGAACTCAATGATTTCGGGCAGAACTTGTCTGAAGCTTAATGTGCTTCTTTTGAGATCAATCTCATGTTTGAACGAGTCATTTAATTGATAAATCCGGACACTGAGAAGAACAAAGCTCGGCATTCGCTCTGTGGGATACCACCATTTGAGTCTACGTTTGACCGATATTATCTTGATGCACAGTGGAATATCATCTGAATACCAAAATTGTTCGAGGAGTTCCGGGGTAAAATAAACCGTTTGGTAGCCATCGTCAGTATGAATATGAAAAGAATCATTAGGCACACCGAGGAGACAGTTTACGCTCAAGGATATGGAGGGATGAAAGTTTTGAATGACTACATCGTGATCATCGAATTCCATTCTGACATCTCGGCTACGAGCATATCCCAGGTAACTATGCAGACGATCTGTTTCCCATGTTGTTTTGAGCCAATTAAGCCATTCAAAAGACATTGAGGCAACGTTCAGTTTTTTAATTTCAATAGCCAGATTATCTATAAGTTTCTGCTCCAGTTTGCCAGCCAATCGAGCTCTACGATATTTATGGTAAATAGGCGTTGGAGGAGGAGGCGTTAACTTGGACAACGTTTTCATAATTTCATAGACCTTCAGGCAGGCTCGGGTTGTGTTGATCAACGGCTGTTCCGCTAGTACGGATCTTATATTATCGTTTTCCAATATTTCCTGGAAATTATTATTAATTTTACGAACCACATAGGTGAGAACGGCTTGTTTTTTCAAATTGAAAGGTTGTAATCGGTTAGCCAGAGTAAGCGTTAAGTTGGCCAACTTCCCAAGTGATTCCCGGGAATACGAAGTATATCCTTTGAGGCAGCTCAAAAGTACTATGGCCGAGTCCACTTCACTAACTCGATTTGCCATAGACTGAATCGTTTGGAAGTATCTGAGAAAGAGTCCTTCTTCAGGAAGATTCAGGATATTGTGCGGGGCGTTGGTGATATAATTCCACAGATCGATCGGAGGGTGAACTGGAGTATTATTCAGGGCCGTGACATTAACCCTTATCCAACTGGGTCGACACACCAGGACAACATCGCAGACCAGTACCTTTATGTATTTGGTGATGGGCAAGTGAACTTCGCAACTGCAATCGAAGCAACTGTCCAGCAAAACAGGTCCTGCGTAGTACCAGTATTCAATGGGATTATTTAAGGTGTAAAAGTTCTGGCAGCAGGGAATAAATGGAGTGAGTGCCTCCTGTCCTTCCGTTGGGCTTACGAAACACTTCCCTTGGGATGGACCAGGATTACTTATTAAGGTCCTTACATTCCTGCCATAACTTCCATCTGCCGCGGAAACCACTAGTTTTATTTGGGTTTTGTTCGATGCAGATCCTATATAAACAGCCAACTCTTTCGAAGTTAGTGGTATCTTGCCTCCAACATACCATTTGTACTTTAGATTCTTGCCGAAACAATTGGTGCATTTAGCTCTGAGATGAACATCCGATCTTGGCGATATAAGGTCCATTCGGCAGTTCCATATGCATTCGATAGTGATGTCCAACACTTCGGAGTCTGTCATGGTGATTGCTTGAAACTTTTTCGATGTAACTTTTGGATCATCATCCCTAGAGACCTTCAATGTAAAAATATATCTGCAATCAGTTTTAAAGGAAAATTCTGGAATACTAAACACCGCCTCTATAGAAGAAAATATTAAAAATTGTGTGGACCAAGTAGTTTCTCACCTTTAGATATGCTTCGCCGACAAACTGGGTTGTCCTTATCGTCAAACGAATGGCAGCTCCAACGATACGAGGAAAACTGAATGTCTGTACTTGTTTTTGAGAGATCCTTACTCAGGGAGCCGTTCAGCCACAAGATTTGGTTACTCTGAGCTCTTCTACTTGAGCCTCCAGTAATTACAGCTTCCACCCCGCCCATAATCACTTTCAGATAGCATCGAGCTGCGAAAGTATAATCGTCCACTTGACCCTCAATTGTCAAGACAACGAGGTTTCTCCACATCTCGTAGGAGGGGGGGAATCCCAGGGAATATTCTTTAATGGGGAGGAGGGGACTACTTGTGAAATAGGTTGAGAACTGTGCTGTGGAACGGATCGATAGTAAAAAGTGATTTGGGCGATTTCGTTTCCAAAAACTCACTTAACCCGATTACATCTGTCAACCGCCAGTGGAAAACCGTTTTGATTGTCAAGTTGCAGGTATCCAGAAATTTCGTCTTAATTATATAATTTCGAGTTATGAGGACTTTTTTAGGTTTTACAGGGTCAGAACACTTTTGAAGTGTTATTTGAGGAACACACGGCTTAGTGGGAGTCACGTTAATACGAATGGAATCCGTCACTTTGTAAGTCCAGGGCAGGGAGGACACTCGACCAATTAGCGTCAAAAGTTTATCACTAATTGACCAAAAAATTGCCATAAAATGCGCCAAGTATCCACTGTCATATGCGGGCTTCATTTTCGTCTTGATTCCCAGAGTAGAAAGATTTCCACTGATTGAGGAGGTTCTTTCGAATTTGGGCGGCATTTCCCTTTGAACTTTAGATCCCACCTCCAAATAGGCCAACAAATAGCTGGGCGTGCTGAGGTGCAAGGTTATGGAGTTCTTAACTGGAAGCGTTTCCAAAGTTATGACGATTGGTGTTGGCTGTCCGTATGGCAGATCCTCGTTGCAGTAAACCTTGATCTTGGCCATTTCCAATTCACTAATCTGTGCAGATCCTAGTGTCAAGTAGAGCGACAGTAATAATAGTATCTTCCTCGGATAATTATACAGCGACATATATTCATTTTAAATGAGAGGAAAAATTGTAACAGAAAACTGAAAGCCAGCTTTCAAGCTTTTATAAATAAGATTTAAACACAAGCCCCCCGTCCTAATGCAATTAATTTTTAACTGGCTTATGGCTTAAAAGTTGAAACTAAGTTAATTACTTATTCCATCATCAGTAAGCAATTACTATAAATTTGGGTAATGAAATAAAAAACATTGGCCTCTCATCACTTTGGTGAACCCTTGCTTCGCAACTTATGTAAGGTAATCCTTAACTGACCTCAACTACCGACCGTTGAGCTTTAATCGGAGAGCAGAGCTTGTTAGCCTGGTTTTGCCCAAACACACACATACATCCTGGAACATCCTTATATATCCCCCCTACACACACACAGTCACTCAGTATCCTTGTACACTTTTGCATAGCAAAGCACATTTGGTGTTTTATAACTATTTGGCATTCGAGGCAGCAAGTCGCACCAGCAGTAGATAACGCCCCTTTTTCAACACTTTGAAAAAGTTTAAATATAAATTAAAAAGTTTTCCCATTTTTTGTTGTTCTTGTTGTTGTTGCATCGTTGCCTGTTATTGTTGTTGGTGTTTTATTTGGTATGTATTTTAAGTTCATGCAAAGTGAAAAGTTTGCCGGACGACATCGAACCGGGTTGGCCAAGTTGAGGACTTGGGGCTTTTCCACAGCCGATCAGTTTAATGCCGCGCAACTGTTTAGGCCATTTAATCCTTTTGCCAATTTCCGCACTTATTTTTAGAACAGTGAGAGAAATATATTCGCAAAGACAAGCCTATTTGACCAGTAACCTAACCATTTTAAAACAAAGTTATAGCTCATTTAATAAAATATACTCTTCTTAAAACTTGTATAATAAATCTTATAATAAATATATTTTTTTTTCTCTGCTTACCAATGGCAGGCGATTGTCGCCGCTTTTAACTTATTAGACAATTCTTGGCCATGTTTCCTTTGGTACCCATTCGGTATTTGCAATACATTATTGCTGTCAGATGAAGTTGTCCTTTTGCAAAATTAATTGCATCCTTTTTGTGGGCGGGCGGTGGAGGATGGGCATGGTGGGACGGGAGGTATAAAAGTTGTGGTCCTTTGACCACAAGCAGACTTCAAGGCTGGCATTGTTGTAATATTTTTGTTAGTAAAATGTGGTCAAACTTTGGCTGCCATAAAGGCGCAAACAACTCTACGGCTTCTGTTTGTTTGTGTATATGTTTGTGTGGGCGTACCTCTGTATGTGTATGTGTGGGAGAACGTGAATGTGTGTGCGTATGTATGTTTACTTGAGCGAGGCAAGCCGCAAACATCTGACCGTAATGCAAACGCATTTGCTGCGTGCCACGCTCAAAGCCAAAGCCCCTGGTAGCCAAAAATGTTGACCATCTCCATTGCCTTAGTATTTCCTGAACAAGTACCAATGTCCTTCTTTATCCTAGCCCCCTCTCGCTCTCAGCTCCTGCCGCTGCCCTGTTCCTCTTAACAGTTGGCCGATCGTTAGCCAGCTTTGAAAGCATCGTATTCGACTGCTTGCGGCTTGCTTGAGGCACTCAACCTTGTGTTGCAAGTTGGGTGCAGGAAAAATCAGTGAGCGAAATGCATTCAACTATACACTGGCAAAAACTATACACACTCTTAGCTCTTGAAACTATTCTTATAAAATATTGTTTAAAAATATTCTAAGTTTTAAAAAGGCTAGCCAATTATTTTGTAATATTTGTTTTGAATTAGAAATCCTAGTATTTTCTTTCAGTGTCTGCACTAAATTTAATCTTTGACTGCGGTCATATATCTCCTTTGCAGCGGCTTTACGTTGCTTTTCCCCCACAGATCCCCAGACCAAAAAAAACTGCGGTCAAAAAAAGGAAATTAAGTTCAATAAAAGCAGCATTCGTAATTTATTAGGGTGAACCAGTTACTTTTCATTCTCCAACCACCCACCTACCCCCATCCCACACCACTCAGGACCATTGAATATTTAAGTTTTGGCCGAAAAGCATTCATTCAGTGAGTAGTAGTGGGTGAGAACTGCTCGTTTCTCACTCAGACTGCTCAGATGGCTCTGGGAAAAAGTTATCATTTTGACAAGTTCTTAAGGATGTAGTCTCATGTGCCGGCCTACTTTTTAGAGGTTATTTCAAAAAAATTTTTTTTTAATAAAAAATAATGCGATCGTTTCAATTTTCAAATATGTTTTTATAAGCATCATAAACTATTTGAAAATATTTTGTTTAATTTATTCTTGTGTAGTTTAATACACTTTATAGCATGCCAAAGTATGCATATAAAAAAAAAAGATAGGTCCCTGGCGCAGGTGATTTCGACTGCTAGAGTCATCCGAAACAAAAAATTAGAATAGATTATTGTTTCGTAAGCTAATGGCTCTGTCCCGTACTAGAATGAAATATTTTCATCAATAAACAACAAAATGGCGAACTCACAAAACAAAAAATTAAAAAAATTAAAAAAATTTATCTTAAATTAATGATAAAAAAAAACTAATCATTAAAAATAAATGATTCTAGTACGGGACAGAGGTGTTACTTTTTAGAACAACATATCCAAATTTCAGCTAGATCGGTACCATAGAATTTTGTGAATCACCTGCGCCGCACACAAAAATGTCGTTTCGAGAAAAACGCGTTTAAAGTTTAGACGCTACCGAGAAACTCATACTTTTCGGTGTAGGCGCGCTCCCGATTATGGGCTGTATCTCTGTCATTATTTGATATTTTTATTTGAAACTTTAACAGTACATTCATAATAAACAATACTATCCAAATATAAAAAAAAAAAAAATTGATTTTTTCAACCTCACACATGAGACTACATCCTTAATATGCAATTTCATTAAGCTGCAACCAAAGTTGAACTGCTTGGCTTGGATGTCCCAGTTTCGTTCATTTATTCCCGTTAAAATGAAAAGAAGTAAGAAAACGGAGCATAATTGCATTTCGTGGACAATTAATTCCCTTTCTATTGCCCATTTCGTCGTAATTTAATTGCAAATTACTTCCCCTTTTATGTGTATTTGTAGACGTAATTGTAGCTTCATTTGCCTTCTGCTTATGCCTGGACACGCAAGGCGTTCCCAGTGCCCCCTTGGCTGCCCAAAGACCTTCGATTCTGATTCCGGAACCGATTCCGCCCCTCGCTTTTGGTCTCGGTCTCTACTTTGTTGGGCATTCGGTGCCAAATTGCAAAAGTTTCACGCAGCAGTAAATTCTGGAAAATTGCATGTGAGCTGCTGCTCCTGCTACTGCAACTTTTCTCGGTGGTCACACGAAATTTATTATTAAAATTCACTCCACTCCTGGCAGTGGTTCCTCCAGAAACGCAAAGCCACTTGAGCATAACATTGAATCTCATTTGACAATTCCGTCATTCTATTCGTTTTGTGTTTCTTTCATTTTTGTTAACAATTTTTTATTTTTTTTTTAATTATATTTTATTTCTGCGTGCCGTTTTGTGTTTTGCATAATTCCAAGCAAAGTAACTCCAACAGAGTGGAACGATAGAGGACTCTGGGTGGCTGGAGGAGGGCCACCGTCCAGGGGGCGTCGTTGGTCAGCTGTGTGACACGAATCAAACAAAACCGTCAACTTTGCGCAGAGCAAATGAAAGCGGAAAGGCAAAGTGTTGACAGAGGGCTGGGCAGGGAGGTGGCAGGGGCGGCGACAAGAGGGGGATTCCCGGTTGCTTACATTGCCAACAAAGTAGAAAATCCGTAAGAATAACACAAAATTCTCGGCACTAGTCCTGTCTCTTTCCCTGCTTCTCTCTCTGTCTTTCTCTGGCCCACTTGTCTTGTGTTTTTTTTTTGTCCCACTCCGGGTTCTGTTCTTCGATTATCCGGCGACGCCTTTTCTGGTGATTGTGGCACCTGCAAACGAAGAGGGGGTGTCACTGGGGTCTGGGGGGAGTGGGTGGCATGTGGCACAGACAAAGTAAGCGCCCCAAGCTGCAGTTTCCAGCTGCCAGTGCACTGAACAAAACAAGAACTGCAAAGCAAACAAAGCAAGTTCTTGGTTTAGGAAGTGTTTCAAACAAGGAAAGGTAGTAGAGTTAGTAGTTAGTACAGTTTTAGGACTATATGATACCCAGAACTCAAGCCTCCGCCATTTTGTTGAAATAAAAACATACTTTTAGATTAATTTTTACAAGTTATGGAATATAATCCTTTTACAGGATGTAACTTTTATCTGATGTTGTAGAACCCTTTCGTACAGTGTCATTTTGCCTCTTTGTTGCTGCTTCATCAGTGGCAATTGTTTAGCTGCGCTTTTTTGGCCATTGGATTCATTTGAAATTTATGCAAATTAAGTACGGCACACAGTGGCAGAACGGAGCATGGAATACTGCATACTGCAGTTGCATAATCCTCGGAGCGCAAAGGATTTACACTTTTGCTTTTGCCAGATAATTATCTTAATTGCAATTTTCGCTGCTCACTCGCTAGCTATCCCACTCTCTCCCACTCTGTCTCTGTCTTTGTCTAACTATCTCGAGGTCCTGGCGGGTAAATGGAAAATTTACAATTTAATTAAAGCTACGCAAAATGTTGGCAGCTAAACCAATTAGTGTCTGAGTGTGTGAGCGTAGTTAGCATAACAAATTAAATGGCAATTAATTTGCAAACGCTTCCCAAAAACATTAATAAATGCAGTCCCCATTCATTATTTGCAACCTGCACTTGCCGACCAAAACTTTCATTATTTGCCATTGGTTTTCCTTTGGGCTGTGCGCCGTGCTGGAGCTGCATCATTTTTCAAGCGGAGGCAAATGAAAGCACTTAATCTTGCTCCCTGAACTTTGCCACAAACTCGACTCGACTCAAGTCGCTCTCGGCTCAGTGGCCCATCCCGGCCCGGCCCAGTACAGTTCGGGCTTAACTCAA